TTATTAAGTAATATTTCAACTTCTTTTCCCTATCGTGTTCCCGTTAACAAGAGTTCGCTGATCCACTCAAATGCCTCTGAGTTTCAGTTAGAGGGAAAATATCGATAGTTGATGAAGCTGGAAATATTTATATTTTATTTTAGGTTTTCTCTTCTTGATAAAGCTGTGGGAAATATGACTCAGGTCATACGCTAAAAATCAAACAAACAATTCAATAAAATCGACGCATTTTTGCACCTCTAACACGTTTAATTGGTGGCGTCTGCAGTTACAAAAGTCTCTGAATTTTTACGCAGAAACTTTACAAGCACTAAAATGTTCTAACGTTAAGGGAACAGTGGCCCAGTAGATTCTAGTTTGACTCTGCACTTTAGAAATGCAGGGTTTCTGTACTTCGATGCAACCAGCCGAAAATGGGTTGTAAGCCAACGTCAGCATGGTATTCTGGTGTGCTTAAGTCGGGACATGCAACATTTGTGGCCATGCGGTATGATACGTCTGTCTTAAGGTTGCAGTTCTTTTTGGCCACCTGGTAGCAGATTAAAAATTTGCGCAGCATTTAAATCGTAATTGATAATTGAATTACTTGTATATGTCTCGTCGGGGTGCTCCAACTGCTTGCCGTACGTGTAGGCAGTGGCTAGTAGGGAGAATTTGAATACCCCATTTTGTGTAGACAAATTCTGCGTGTTCACTTGTTTCCTCCTAGAACGGGCTGCGGAGTCTGTGTTCTTAGACTAAATTTCGTTTAGGTAGTCCGATCAAGTGTCAGAAGGCCTAGTTTCGGCGTAGACTGATATTCGTCAGTTTGCACGTTTTTCGTTCGAGCCGTCACCTTCGTAACTGTCCATTAAAGCTGCTTCTTCATATGCTCGATCGCGTTCGCTACCTCATTTTTCCAGCCGTCTCCGGTGCGACTTTGTCCGGTGTTTGTGCCTACATAGAATTATCGCCCTTGCCGAAACCCCGCGTGTGCTTTTCCGTCAGGCGAGTGGTTCTGAGGGCTCTGAGATGATTATTGTAACGAAGAAACCGGAACAATGATTGAACGTTAAATAGCGCTGGCTTTGACATGTGATCTGAGTTAAACGTCAAGGACATCTACGGAATGACTCTGTTCTCTCCGAGGCGTATGCGGTAAAGCTGGATCGATCGAACTGCTTGGCTCCACTAAATGGAGCTGTTCGTTAACGATGTTGTGAACTTCCCAGCAGCAGAGGAAGTTTTTCGTGGGGGAGGGGAATTCCTAGTTTATCGCTGTTTCTTTGGCCAAACGACGCGCATTTGTCCCACTCACCACCGTCCGCTGCTTCAGCTTTGCTCCGTCGCTTTTTCCGTCAAGGTATTATTCAGCCCTCTGACCTCGTCTTTGATTAGAAGATCCGCTCACCAGGCACTGTCTGCAATGGAATCGCGCTAGTCGCAGTTTCGCTTTCTGATCGATGCCGTGCGACATATTCGCGTCTTACGCTGCAGGACATGTCGGCACAGCCAGATCCAGATCCTAGAGGCGCTTACTTAGTTAATACACGACTGTCTGACTTTTTCTACTTTCCTTCTCTTTCATCGTGCCCGTTTACTTGTTTCACTAGCCGTGGCAGCTGCATCAAATTACCTAATTAACGCAGGTGAACACATGCGTTGTTACTCGACATCTCTTCGTGGCGAAAAAAACTATTTTTGGCTTTCCTACCTACTCTTTTCCTACCTACTTGACACTTCGTACGACCGCAGTTGAAATATAAGTATAAACAAGCAATTCCATGAAAAGCGCACGTATATGACGCGGCTTCGCTTTTTATCTGCGTCTTCATGTTCCTTGTGTTCAGCGCCGACTTTCAGTCCCATTCTTAATCGCACGGTCTGCGTTTCAGATCTCTTTTCTTCATTCTTTCCGTCGACAGTCGAATGTGTAAACTCTGCACTCGTTATGTTCCTCCTTACTGCTTTAGTAAATTTTGTTCTTAAATATCTGCTTGTGTGTTGATCTCTTTCCCAGCGGATTTGTGTACTTCACCTTTCCTCGAACATGACTCGCTACATGTTAGCCTTATCTCCGTCGTTTACCTTTCAGATTTTCTCAAACGATTTTACTCGTGACTTTTTTTTGTTAGTCCTTTTTTACTTGGTTTATACAATCTCTAAAATATCCTTCATGATCCAAAAATCTGACTCCGCCGTTGTAGGTCTCAAGCCTGATAGAGGAAGGAGAGGGTTTTAGACCGCGGCGAGGTCCACCTGCTCCTCGTGCTATTGCCGTTTTCGAACGTTATTCCGTCTCGATCGTACCCTGGGACACCGACGGCCGCGCAGGCTGTACGGTAACTGAGACAGTCTGCCCGGAGTCGACGATCAGAACATGC